CTGAACCACTAATTCAGATAACTTTCCCTCCTTTCCTGTTCCTTTCTCTCTCCCTCTTCTCTCTCTTCTTCTCCCTCTCCTCCCCCTCTCTTTCCTTCTCTTTCCCTCTCTCTAACAGGAAAGCGCTGAAATGTTATATCACCTCCCAGATGCAGCTATGCTCCTTGAACGGGGCTGCTTCTCATGGGATTGTCTTGCTGATGCTGCCCTCCAGCCTGCACCGTTAGGACACAGGAGCCTAGCTGTCTGTCCTCTGGTGGACCGTGTACTGACATAGGGACCAGTCTCCATACAGGGCTGTACAGTCCCATAGAGATTGCAGACATGGCTGTCTTTGGAGGTACCACCTGGCACTTCTTTAATTTTTATTTTATTTATTATTTTTCTGTGTATAGTGGTTAGCTGTGTGTTTGTATGTATGTATACCATGTGTGTGCCTGGTGTCCATGGAAGCCAGAAGAGGACATTGTTCTCCCAGAACTGGAGTTACAGATGGTTGTGAGCCACTATGTGAGTGCCGGGAATCAACCCCATGTCTTGTCCGTTTCTAGGTAAACACATTGTGAAAGACCCCTCCAAGGGGGACTCATGAAGGACGTGACCCCCAAAGACACTCCAGAGATCTCTTGGTGTAATAACATAAGTCAGGTTTTATGTACGAAGCTTCGGATCGACGTGCCCCACGCAGGAAGCAGGGGTCATCGACCCTGAGATCTAACAGCTTAGGGTTTTTATAGACAAAGGCTGGGGGGAGGGAGAGGGTTGTGGGTAATCGCACACAATTGGTTGTTATAAATGTCTATAATATGTGTAAGCAGATCTCAGGCAGAGGTTTGACAAATCTCACGAGAATAGTCTCTGGTCCCTGTGGCCTTGGGACCCAGTGTGAATGTTTATCTGAGCCAACAGACCATCTGGCTGAATCTAATTTACAAGTCCTTGGGACCTCTGGTGGGAGTTTCTTCAGAGGAGGCTAAGTCAGACACCACGGGAACAGATTCCCGGAACACTCAATTGACCTTTGTTTCTCTGCTCTGCATCTCTTGTAACGGCCTTGGGTTAGCAAGCTAGCTGACCTGTTATTCTTAACTATTTGTATTCCTGTTATATTATTTAACTAACTTAAAAAATATCTTTTCAATTGAAATTATGAGATCAGTGGTTTTTCCAAACCAACAATCTGCAAACACAAGGTATAACATAAAGTCACATGTTCAGACCCCAAACATGCTTGAGAACACATGGTGTGTGTGCAGGTGTATGTGCACATGTAGGGGGCACACAAGCTAACATGTACATACCTAGAGGTCAGAGGAGGACATCTGGTGTACCCGTGAGACAGGGTATCTTGCTAAACCTGGAGCTCACCACAACTTCTGTTAGAGTGGCTGGCTAGCAAGCCCCAGCAATCCTCAGGACTCTGCAAATCCTTCTCCCCATGGTGCCGGGTGAAGATACAGGAAACCACATCAGGCTTTTTAGGAGTACTGGAGATCCGAGTTCAGAGCCTGGTGCTCACACAATCAGCAGCTGAGCGTTCCCCAGTCCCGGAATAGCTGCTTATAACAACAGAGGTGTGTGCCTGACCAACTGAACTGCTCACACTTAACAAGGAGAAGTAGAGTCAGCCAGCTCACTGCTGTCCGAGGTGCTGGGGATGCCACGGTGGGAAAGCCCAGTGGAGTTCCTCCTTTTTGGAACTTATCTGTGTGGAGGGAGACATAGAAGCCAAGGGAGGCTGAGGTCTGACAAGTCCTGTGCTGAGAACCTGGAGGGTGCAGGAACACAGGGAGGCTGCTTCTGTTTGGGTCACAGGGAAAGCTTCTAAGGGGGAGCGACATTTAAACTCAATGGGAATGACAAGCGGGTCAGAGACAGGAAAGGGCTGTCCACCCTGAAGGAACAACTAACAAAAGCACCCAGGAGAAGCCACGCCTGCTGTGTTTAAAGATGTGCCCAGCATGCAGGGCCTCAGAGGCAAGGAAAAAGGCTAAAGGACAGACAAACAGACACAACAGAAACCAAAGGACATGGGTTTAGAGCGTGGTTGTGGTCTGCTTGAGAAGCCAAGGGAAGCCGCCTGGCTGTTGGGAATGCGCTGCTTTCCAACAAGGTCACACCTTTCTGCAACAGGCGTTCACCCAGAAAGTGGAAGTCCCAATCAGTGCAATCCTCACAGTCTGTCTTAACTCCAGATGTTTCCATAAACAGACACGCATTTGGAAAACTTCAAACATAACTTATCTCTAAGAAGGGAAAGGCCCATCCCATCTGAGCCCACAGAGGGTAAGTGACGGGTTCATAACCTGCAATCACACAGCTAATGGGCTTTCTGCAAGGTTCTCACGGATCCCCGGGCATTTGGTAGGATGGCTCAGTTGAGAAAAAAGTAGTGGAGACAACCAGAGCTCCCGACAAGTCCACCCTGCAGAGCCACACTAGGCCCTGGAGGCTTGTTCTCCCTACCATTCATAGATAAAAAGACAGCCTAACTTCTGTGTGCTCCAGCTGCAAAATCTGTATGCAGAGCAAATCGAGGTTTGAGACAGGAGCATGGAATGAGACTCAAAGCAGAGAGAGAAGGGGTTTGAAAGTTCTCAGGTTTCCAAGCAGATAGATAACCTTTGCATTTAAAGTGTGTGTGCATTGGGGAGCCGGGTTTACTATGGAGAATTCGTAAAGCCTTGCAGTTGGGAGGGGAAATGCAAATTACTGAAGAGGCCAGTCTGGAAATCAGTATGCAGAATTCTCAAAAACAGAAAATAAGTCTACCATATGGCCCAGCCATAGCATCCTTGGCACATGCCTAAGGGACTTGACACCCTACTCCACAGACACTTGGCAATGCTCATAACTGCCCTATTCACAATGGCCAGGTGATGGAATCAAAATAAAAGTCCTTCAACAGACGAATGGACAATAACAATATGGTACGTATACACCATGGAATACTATTCAACTATAAGTAAAAATAAAATCATGCACACAAGAACTCCATAGAATCTAACTCTAGTTATCTGTACGGGTGCACACACCAGTCATTCTAGACTTCCTACAAAGGGGGTGGAAGCTGGCAGCATTGTTCGTCTTGGGAGTGTTTGGAAACTCTAATACCACAGACTCCCAGGTGTGTGTGGCAAAGTGTCTGATGCTGTCAGGGACATCATAAAGGAGTAAAAGAATGGTTCCAGGCAGGAAAATTCTGGTGGAGTTACTAGGTATGATGTGCTGTTTGTCTCTAAGAGGGCCCTAAGACACTCCACTTACCAAAGCCTTAAGAAATACATCAGCGTGGGGAGAAGTGGCATCTCCTACATGTGCCGATGAAGCCATTCTCTGGCCTTCTGGGGGACATTGGATGCCATTGGGAGACACTAAGATTCTTCATTTTAAAAACCAAACTGCTTAGGTAATATGACATAACCTGTCAGATGTGGTGACTCAGGCCCTTAATCCCAGTACTCAGGAGGCTGTGAGTTCGAGGCTAGACTATTCTACATAAGCGAGTTCCAAATCAACCAAGGTTACACAGGGAGAACCTGTCGCAAAAAAAAAAAAAAAAATCACAATAGTGACAATTCATTTCAAGGCAATGCTGTCACCATTGTCATGGTTAGCGCATGGACCACATGGTCACAGGGCATCAGATGCTGTAAACCACAGGGACATGAGTGAAGCAACCTGACCCTAAATGAGTGGTCACTTCCCAGAGGCTCTGTTCGCCTTTGCATAGGTATGAACAGAATGGTTTCAGAAGATCTTAAGGGAGGGAAGATTTATTTCTGGCGCACAGTTTAGAAGGCTTTGGGTCCTACGCATTCAACCCCGTGCATTTCGGCAGAAGCAATGAGATAATTCATATACATCAGGCTTTCAAAATTAAAAGCCGAAATCAAGTGTCAGTGAGACACAAGCAGTGGAAACTCAACCCTGTTCAGAGGAGCAAAAAAGTATGTCACCCTGCTGGAAAACTGACTTGGTATAAGTGTATAAGTCTGACCATGCATGTGCACAAGAGCCGGACAGTCCCTGTCCAGGGGCGTGTATGAGAGCAGAGTCTCACACATCCTGGAAGGACTCAGACACGTGGCTGGCTCCTGGCCAAAATTTTCACATCTAATAGTACAAAACAGCAGGTCAGAACATATTATCAGTGGAATAAGGTCGTCCATTTCAAGAGTTCACTACCTCTACACACAGAGACCAGCCAAGCAAGAGTTCCCCAAAGGAGCTGAGCAGGGTAAGGGAAGATGGAGACCAGTTCACAGTACGTGTGGCCTCTGCTGTTAGGGCAAAGGAATAAAGGACAGTGGTTTTCACAAATGGTTTTCTCCAGACAAATCCTGTACCTGGAGACTGTATCCTCCTGGGGAAGTAAGACTCCCATCCTACCTTGCTAGAAGGATAGAGAAAGATGCAGACAGGCAAAGGAGACCAACAGAGACATACATGTGCATGAACACACGTGCACACCCCATGTACACACATATACCATCTACTGTATCTACAGGACATGTGTACACCCCATGAACACACATATACCACTTACTCTACATGGGACATATTGTGAGGGCCATCCAAAAGGCACAGCATTTCACTAAACCCCCAGAGTAGCTCTGCAGGACAAGCCTCATTTTTTTTAGATGAAGGTATTCAGACAGGTGTAAGCTCCACCAAAGGCTGCCCTCCCGTGTCTGAGAGAGATGGGATCCAGACCTATAGCTACCCAACTTCGAAGCTCCCAGGCAAAGGAACGGTGCAGCCTGTGGGTCTCAGAGCTCCAGCTCACAGAACAGCCTCCTAAGCTGGCCAGCAACTCTGCTCCCTCCCACTAAGTGGAACGCAGCCTCTTGTGACGATATAGGTCTAGTCATACTCTGTCAATTCCATCCCAAGAAGAGGGTCACTCATCCAGGACTCAGTTCACGTGGCACGACCCTTCCTCATCAACCACACCAAGCTTCCCCCAGATGTAAGATCTTGGCAGTTCTCATAGTTACCTAAGGTCCAGCAGGAAACGCTCTCCAGGAGGGGGATGCTGCTGTAGAGGGCATGCATGTACATGAGGTGTAGCATCAGCTCGGCCAGCCACCACCAGCACAGCAGGCGGCCCAGGCCCTTGGCTAGAACGCAGAGGCTGTGCTGCAGAGAGCCGAGCTCTGGCTGCTGCATCTAAAGAAGGGACAACAGAGAAGGCAGCGTCAGACAGTGCTAAGTCCCAAGCTGTGCAGAACATCTCTCCTGTGATGTGTCTGTTAAGGTTTGTACAAATTATCATTGCTGTCTCTACTGGCACGGGGGTTTGTATGCCTTGGGGACACTCAATTTTTCTGGGTAAGATAGAAACTGACCCCAGAACAAGAACAGGTGGGCCAATATGATACCCTAGAGGCAAGGACAATGCCAACTTCTGCATCCTGCTACCAAGCCTTGATCGGAGACAGCCCGGGCTGGGCCAGGACTTCAGACACTCTGCCCCCTGAAACTGCCTCTCTCTGGGTCCTGATCAGTCTGTTGGTTTCCACCCACCACCCGACTCATGCCTGAGCTATTATTAGCCAGGATAGGACAACAACAGAACTAGAGGGAGACACCAGGGATGGAGTGAGTGACCTGGAAGAATCAAGCATGTCTGTCAGTCTGCCTACCTTTTTCCAAGAAGAAGAGGGGGGAGGAAGGGGAGAGGGGAAGAGGAGGAGAGGAGGGAGAGGAGGAGAGGAGGAAGAGGAAGAAGAAGGAGGAGGAGGAGGAAGAGGAGGAGGAAGAGGAGGAGGAGGAGGAGGAGGAGGAAAAGAGAGGAGGAGGACGAAGAGCATATACTCAGCTGACAAGTGTCTCAGCATAATAGGTCAGAGCCTATCATCGACCACACAGCTACATGATCCTGAGAAATTTCTCAATCTCTCTATGTCTTGATTTCCTCAAAATAAGGTGAAAGTTCAGGGGTGATGGCAAGATGTGAGAGTGAAGTCAGCACCCACACATTTAAAGCATTAGTGGCCACGCTAGCAGCTACTCCTAGGTGTGGCTTCACCTTCTTTTCTCAGGACACTGGCCACTAGACAGCACTAGAGCAGACCCCACACTGAATGTGAGGTAAGTGTTTCTACTGTCCTGGATATCCTTTATGTAAACCACGGGGGTCCCAGCACTTCAGATCCCTTATGTAAACCACGGGGACCCCAGCACTTCAGATCTTGAGTTTTGAATTTCCTTACAGACTTTGTCCCCTCTGAGTATCCCTGACCGGAAACTGTTCAGAAGCCTTTGGAATTGTGCAGGATTCTAGACTTTCGCATTCTGGAGATCAACCTGTGTGAGCAATGCTGTCAGAGAGCCTGTTCCACCACTGCTACCTGGCTGTGGGGTCACCTCACTATGTGGGGGTCACCTCACTATGTGGGATCACCTCACTATGCGGGGTCACCTCACTATGTTGGGCCACCTCACTATGCGGGATCAA